TTACTGTTGCCATTTCTTGTCACCTAATTTCCCTTGACCGCCACTTACGCCACCTGACTTGGCTTTTGTCAGGAGCAGGGACCCCTTATGACTCATGTTGGGATTTCTAGAACCCACATGTGTCTGGCATGTGTATAGTAAGTGCACAGTAAGTGTTTTCTGAATGACTGGGTCCAAGGTGACCGCCTGCTCTCTCCTGGTCCTGGTGAGCCTGTCATAAGAAGAGGTCATCAGACCCAGTGACTGGGACAAAGTGACAAGGGTATGCCCACTAATACCTCTAGGTGCTGGGGCCTTAGGACCTCTGCTGTCCTCCAGGGTAAGCCAGGTCCACTTTCTGATAGGAACCCTTGCTAGGGGCCAGGTAACCACCCCTTAGCCTTAAGAAAATTCCAGCAGGCAGCAGGGGCAGAGGTCATGGCAGGTCAGTTATACACAGGGAACAGAGTGGTACAGAGCTCTGGTGCCCAGCATCCCAGGCTAATACTGCCCATGGGTGAAGGGCCCAGGGTCTCCTACCCCCAAAGCCAAGCTGCCTGGCTCTGCTCTTACCTGCTCTTCCCTCAACTCACCAAAATAGCTCATTTATTTTCTCCCCTTCCCCCACTCCACACCCCACCCCAAATGTGACAATCAGAAACACCTCAGCATTCAGAGACAACATGTTCAGAGACAAATGTTGGTCTGTTCAGAACAGGAGAAGAAAACAAACCCAAGAGGAAACTGGGAGGCTGCCCTGAGGGCAGAGTCTACAGGGAGGGAGGCCTGCAGCCTTCAGCCTGGCCCCTTCCTGCACTTCAGGAACGGGGTGGAGGGGCTGCCCAAGGCAGGCTGGCACTGCCCTCCTGGGGAGCTCAGAAAGCCAGGGTACTGCCCTCCTGGGCTGGGGTTCCTGACTCACCCTAGCTCAGAGAGCACAGCATCAGTGAGTCCTGGCCCTCACTCTAAAGCTTGTCATGACCACTGATCTGTCCCCCAGGCAATGCCCAGACCAGAGAAGCCAGGGAACTTCCAAAGGGGGCGGGCAGGAATGGAGCTGTACACCTTTCCTAGAAGGCCTTGGTTTCATGCTCTGCCTGGGCCGGGGAACCTCCTCTAGTCTTTTCTCCTAACCACGCCTCCCTTCATTTTTCCTATGGAAATCCCACAGCAAGAAGAGAGGTTAGACTTGAGTAACTCTAGGGAGTGAGAAGTAAAGGGAGAGTTTAGAGCAGAGTGGAAGCAGCAGCTCTCTAGTGAGGGGCCACCCTCTGGAAGCCAGAGGTCCTCTCTGGGAAGGAGCCAAAGGCCACAGGAAGAGCACGGACAGACTCAGGGAACCTGGGTTTGGATCCTAGTACTACCATTAAGTGGTGTGACCTCAAGCAAGCCCCATCAGGCCTGTTTCCTCATCTGTACACTGACATGCAGATGTGAACACCTGCCTCACCTAGGCCAAGCACAGGCCAAGCCTCCTACATAGTAACTGACACGTAACAAAGGGGATGAGCCAGCTGGAGCTGCATTCTTGGTGTAGGGAGTTCCTGGGGTCCCCTCCTCTACTCAGAAGGGAAACATCACAGGAAAAATGGGAAACATCAGAGGAAAAATGCACTGATTTAGCCAAAGGAGAGGAACTGTAACCTTTAATAAGGCTGACAGCTGAGCTAAAGCCAGCCCTGCCCCAGAGACCTTGGAGACTAGAGTAGCGGAAGGGCGACCTGGGCCCATTCTTCAGGCCTCTTGTCTGCTTTCAGAAGAGAAGGTGCAGGATTCTACAGATTTGGATGCTGCCAAACCTCCACTGGGCCCCTTCAGGCTGTGAAGGCACCCTGGCGAGCCTTCGTCTGCCCTGGGCAGCAGGCAGTGGGTAGGTAAGGACAGGACCAGTCTGCTCCTTGTGCCAGTTCCCAGCTCAGGCCACAGAAACAGAACCACCAGCAGCAGCCGCCCATGGGCCCAGCCAGTTAATGGAGCAGGGTGAGCATCCCAGCCCAGGAGCCTGCCTGAGTGGAACAGCTCCTTGGGCCAGACCTGTAGCTAGGCAACAGGCTCTCATAATCAGCTCAGTTCACTTTCCATTTGTATCATTTTGCTCCTGTCATAATGCACTACTCAAATGACCAGGCTGCTGTGTCAGAAAGGAGGCCTCAGGGCAGATCACTGCTCCTCTGCCCCGCTTCGCCCACTGCCCCACAGTGCCGCAGGCCCTTCCAGGGAGGAGGCACCTGTGAGCGAGGGAAGGTAGCACACATACCTGGGGGAACAGGGCTAGGAGGGAAGGGACAGGGTGACCAGCCAGGGACAAATGGAGGGGTGAAAGTGCAGCCCCAGAACTCCCCATATGGCATATAGTTTCAGGGCTGGAGGGTAATAGAATAAGTCTTCCTTCTCACATCTCCAACTGCCCCTGGGTTTTCTGATGCCATCCACAGGAGGTACAGAACCTCAGAAGGACACCTGTCAGGCCAGAGTAAGAAACAAGCTCTCTGTCTCAACAGGAGCCTCGTTCAGTGGAAAGAACGTGTTGTAATCACAAGAGCAAAGGCTTAGGAGTCAGGGACTCTGGCTTTGATTCAAAGCCCGGCCACTATCTGGCTGTGTGATCTCGGGCAAGTTGTTTACCTTCTCACAGCCTCAATCTATTAAACGGGGATAATCATCAGGTTTTAGGATTACTGGGAGGATTAGAGATTAATGTAAAGTATATACAGCAATGTGTTTGTCTGGGGTGCTCAATAATGAGCAGTTATTCATTAATTTTTAAAAATTATGTATTACCACTTGTATGTCCCGGGAGCAGGCGAGGGCTCACCTTTGCCTGTGCTCCTCAGCAGGAGGCAAGTCCTCTTTTTGCGCACGTGCTGGCCAGAGTTCCATCCAGATATTCACATCAGGATTAAGAACCAGAAGGCTGGAAACTAGGGGTGGTTTCCTGGCTCTGCTGTTAGTTCAAGTCTTTGGCAAGAAACTTAATGTCTCTGCATGCTGGTTTTCTCAATGTTTAAATGGAAGAATTAACCCTGCCCCATCACAAACTTCAAGACCTCAACTGGAATGCCTGGGCTGACGTGCTTCCAGGTCAAAGGGGCTTGGGTTCCTGGAAGACTTCAAGGGGCAGGCCAAGCTCTGAGCTTACTCAAAGAGGCCCCCTGACTTGGTCATTCAACAGTGAGTTAGGGAGAAAATAAACTCAATGATACATAAACTCAATGATACGTGGGCTGCCACTTGGAATTCCAGGAGGGAAGAAGAGCAGGTGAAAAACCCTCAGAAATCCTAGAATGCTTTGAAATAGGGCCTAGCTCCCCTAACCACCTCATCTCATCCCTGCTTCTGTAGTCCCCTTTCTCCATCCCTATCTCTATCTCTCCTCCCCTACCCCCAGCTTTGAAAGAGTCTGAATGATGGGTGCCTGTCTCTCTCCTGTAATGCAGACAGCCAAGTGCTAACGCTAGCAAGGTTAGTGATCTACATGAGAAGCCCACAGAACTCACAGCAGACTCAGTCCAGGGGCATCACTGTGCCCTCACCTTCTGAGTCGGTCTCAGGGCTGCAAGGAAAGAAATCCAGGCAGCTCCCTCTAGTTTTGTTCTCATTCCTGAGAAAGGTCCCTGCCTTCTTGTGGTTGCCTGCAGCCCCAGCCTGGTACGCCATGGCCCCTGAGACCTCTGCTCCTCCCTTCTCTTCCAGGCAGAAGATGCATCTGCCCTGGCCTGGCATTTATGCCAGCCTGGCTTTTCCCTGCAGGCCTGTTCCTCAATTCCCTACCCTGCCTTCTTCTGTGACTAGGAAGAAGCCCAGCACAGGGGTGCTGGGAAAGGGAGGGTGCTCTGAGACTCATTAACATGGCAATTTGGGGTGCCAGAGGAACCAATCAGGTTTCACAGCAAGCAGCAGTCCCCAGACCCAACAAGTTACATTGCTCTTTCCTGTCTCCCAGACAGGCCCCAGCCAGGCTTTAGACTGCTGACCATAAGATCATACACCAGCCCCCAGAGCTTTCCTTCTTTAAAGAATCTAAAGTCATCCTTCAGGAATTTTTTTTTTTTTTTTTTAGCTGTTCAAGCATAATGGGATGAGTATCTCCCCCATTCCCTTCTTCCACCCAAAAGGATTAGGGAAACTGGATTTACCTGGGAAGGAGGTGGTAGGTAGGGATCAGGTCTTGCCTAAATCAATCCGTGCTTCCACCTTCCCCCATACACCCATTTCAAGCGGTAACCTGAACAAGGGCTCTCTGGAAAGACTGTGCTGCAGCAGAAAGAAAAGAAGCGGCAGCAAAAATCTGGTATCATCACCAGGAAGCCTGTGGCTGGCCACTGGCCAAGGGAGCCTGCAGGACCTAGAACATCAGCCCTTTCCTGTTTAATTCTGCTCTCACTCAGCTGAGACCAGGACATCCCAGGTGTGCAGGAAGCCTTGGGGGCATGTCATGCTCCCTGGGAGAAAGAAGGCCTGGAAAGGAGGCTGAATCGTGGTCTCAGCTTTGCTTCTTATGAGCTGAAGATACTGAAGCCTATGTCCCCCTCTCTGAAGTGCATAGTTGTGAGCACACTGAGCTGCTGGGAGGATGTAAATGAGGTGGCAGGGCATGGAAGCATCTAACAAAACCCACCCCAGTTTACTTCCTCTCAACCCTGCCCCCAGCAGAAGGCCAAATTCCAGCTCTCCAGGACCGTACGGAGTGGAGGGCAGCCGAAGATAGGGCGGCCTGTGCAGACCAAAGAAGTGGGTGGAGGAGCTGAGCTGGGCACCCCACTCACTGGAGGAGATGCGGCAAAGCAGGCAGCTGGGACTAGGTCCAAGTAGTAAGTCAAGTGTGTGCAATCTCCTGATGGAGCGTGCAGGGGAGAGGGTAGGAGTGTGTAATTTTCCTGCGGGCCACGGAGGGGGTTGAGAGGAAGGCGGGAACAACCAGAGGTGGTAAGTCGGTCCCTGCTCCTCCCTGTCCCTACCCACCACCACCACCAGGGACCCCATGCAGACGCGAGGGGGAGACCCGGGCTCCTGCCACTCACCCTAGCTGCCCGGGAGGAGTAGGGATCCTCGAAGAGCGCCCACATGCGGGGCTGCCAGCCGCGGCAGCCCCCAGACCCCGCGCCATGGCCTGCCCCTCCCTCGTGGGGGCCCAGTCGCTGCAGGGCCAGCTCCCGCTCATCGTCGCCGGCCTCTTCGCCGGGCCCCGCGCCGCTGCCGCCTCCGTCCGGGCTCTCGAAGATGTCGAGCGCCTCCTCGGCGTCGCGGTGCTGCCGGTAGGTCATCCAGCAGCAGGGCTCCACGTCGGTCTCGTCGATGCCCCAGAAGGTGAGCTCCTCCTCGAAGAGCGGCCCGCACACATCGGCGGGGCAGTGCAGCTTGCCGGTGCGGTAGTAGTTGAGCACGTAGGCAAAGACGCCCGGGTGCCTGTCGAAGAAGAACTCGCAGCCCCCGCCGCCGCTGCTGCCCGCACCGCCGCCATCGGTCTCCGGCCGGCCCCCGCCGTCGGGGTCGGCCAGCCACGCGAGGCGGGTTCCCGGTAGGGTGCGCAGGGTACTGCGGTAGGTCTCATGTCGCGTGCCGCCCACGTTGATGATGATCTTCTCCGACGCCTCGCCCTTGGCCATCTCCTCCTTCAGACATGTTTTGGACGGAGGCTTGTTCCCCGACTTGCGCCCGCGGTAGGAGGAGACACACACCGAGCTGATCATAAGAAGCGCTGCAGGGCTCCGGCTTGGGGCGGCCGCTGCCCTCCAAACACCCTTCCCGAGGAGGTAGCGTCAGACGGGGGAGGGGAGGAGACGAGGAGGAGGCAGGAGGCGGCGGCGGCCCCCTCTGCGGCGTGGCCCTGCCCCTGCCTACTCCCCCGGGACGCGGAGCGGGAGGAGTTGGGTTTCTCCGGTGCACAGGTGGTTGGGGTTAGGGTAGGAAGCGCCGGAGAGAGGGAGGCGGAGAGAGGGAGGACCCAGGGAGGTAGAAGCAGGCACACACGCGGTCCCCCGCTAGGACGGGACACACAGACACTCTGGGCCGGAGACACGCCCCCGCTTCACCCCTACCAAAGACGAGGAAGCGCACAGTCCGAGCGCACTGTGAGGGTCCGGGGCGCGCGCGCTCACACTCACACGGGCCACCCTCCGGCTCCCAGACCGCACCAAGCCCCGGAGCAGCCGGCTTCCCTGCAGCGGCAGCAACGCAGCAGCAACAAGTCCTCCGAGCTGCTGCCGGGGCCGGGCCGACGCTCTCACGGCAGCCGGAGCTCCGCGGGCCCGGGCTGCGTGCGGTCAATACCAGGCGGCGGCGGCGGCATGTGGTCTCTTCCCCCCATTCATAAATCCAGCGCCGGGCGAGGAAGGCGGGCGGGGCAGAGCAGAACGCGGCGGCCGGGCTGGCGGAGGCTGCTCAGGGAGAGGCGGCAGCTGGAAAACAAGCGCACCCGCAGGAGCGAGTCTCGGGTCCTGCGTCCGCGGCTGGGAGCTGCGCCGGACCGGGCGCAGCGCTGCGGGGGCCGCGCTGGGGCGGGGGGGCCTCAGACGGGGCGTCCTGCGCTGCGCCGAGCCTGGGGGGCGGGGCCGCTCGGGAGAGCGGGGCTCTGGGCACTGGCGAAGGAGCACCCGGGGCGGCGGCCAAGTGGCCAAGGACACCTGCAGGCTTCCCGGGCCGCGCGGAAAGGGAGCTTCAGCGCAACGCCCCGGCGCCGGGCTCCTGCGATCTGGCGGCGCCGGGAGCCACGCCATCTACGCGTCTCCCCATCTCCGGGCGGGGCGCCGGCCTTCGCAAGCGCGCGGCAGGAGGCGGGCGCGAGGTGGCATAGGGGAGGGGGCGCCTCGGCGCCGGTGGGCTGGGGCCCGGGGGGCTCTAGCTCAGCCTCCGGCAGCTGCCGCCACGCTCCAGTGGCGCCTTTTCCTCCAGGGCCCCGCCTCACCCAGGCGCGCCCTCCGTGGGGCGGGGTGGGCGGGGCGCGGCGCGGCGCGGGGCTGACCCGGCTCGCTGCAGGCCCCGGCGACCCAGGGCAGCCTTCCTCCCGGGAGCCGAGGCCCGCCAAGGCGCGTCACCTCCTCGCCGCCAGTGCCCAGCTCAGCGCACCGCCCCTGCAAGCCTCCGCCGGCAGCCCCTCCCGCCCCTCTCGGCCGTGCTCCCCGCCTCCCCGCGGCCCGCAGCTCCTCCCACTGCAGCCTGCGATACAGGAGCGCTCCCGACCCCTGACCTCTAACCTCCGCCGGTCTCTTCTTGCTGCGTCCGTCGCCCCCTCCTCGCCAAGCTGGTTGCATGTTTCACTGCGGCTGACGGAAGACCAAGGAAGAAAGAGGGTAGAGTCGCTGTCGCGAGGATCAGGCTGCTCTTTCCTTTCCCAGGCATCGTGTTAGGGCCTTCTGAGCACCCCGCCCCGCATCGTGCGCCTCGGAGACCCATCGGAGTCCAAGACACCCATGGTCTTGATGCTCTCCGCCTCTGTCCCAGCCACCATAGCCTCTGCGATGGAATGGGGGACGTGGTGGCCTTGGGCAGAGAAGCGCCTCTTGGGCCGCATGGAAGGAAACCGTAGCTCTGGCTCTGTTCGTAGCGAAACGTGTTATGGATGTGGGCTGGGTGGGTGGCCCTGAAAGGCCATGAATTAAAGCTTTTGCTCGTCATTGCTCTGGGGGACAATGGAAGTGCCTGTGTTCTGCCTCGTGACCCCTCCTGCTTCTACTCTTATTCCACCCATTGCAATTTGCCTGTGTATATTTCTCCTCTCCCCTCCCTAACCCTGAGCTCCTACAGGCGGCATTGTGTTTTTTCATCTTGGTAGCTCCCACCGTGCCTGCCTCTGAGAACCTGTTTGCTAAGTGATACCCAAAACATTAGGCACCAACTGGATTTTACTGGCCCTATCCCAAGAGCAACTTCCAGATGCGTTTGTTTTTGTTAAGTCCAGAACCTATTTTACATCTTCATATTAATCCCCATTGGGTTGTTTTTTTTTTTTCTTTTTTACAGCTTCAGGCAGCCTCCATGCTTGTCTGGATGACGTCAGGAGATCTTGAGGCGGAAATGAAAGGTGAATGACACACCTGCCCTAGACACCTGTCACCATCTCATTTCCCATTTTTGGATCAGGCAGTACCTAGCTCAACTGGGAAAAACAAGACAAGGGTCTATGTGTGCTCTCAGGAAAGGTTAAAAGCCCAGTGCCAATGCAAGGGAGTTTTACAAGCAAGTCTCTTTATTAATGAGGCCAGAAAACCAAAATGACAATGATCTTTGATGATCTGTACTGATATGCAGGGGACATGAGTTAATTAGAAACACACATTTACTGGCACCTGCTTTGTGCCCAGTCCCTGCTCCTCAAAATGATATTTATATTTCAGAGTTTAGCTGGCTTCGAGTTTGCTGCTGTGAAAAGAAATATCCCAAGTGTGACTGGGAAGAGAAGACCCGGGACAGGCCAGAAGCTGGAGTGAGGAAGAAGGAACCACAGAATATTAAAAAATCATCTGTAATGAGTAACTTTCAAGTCCTATCCAGTCCATGTCCTGGCAAAGTCTCTCAGAGTCTCTCTCCTGCTTTCTATTCATCAGGATGACTGAACTCAGTCATAGTAAGAAAGGGAGTATAGTGGGCCGGGGAAAAAAACCCGTAGTATCCCATCCGCGATTGACTTATTCACTAACTGAATACTTACTGAATACCTACGATATGCCAGAAGCAGTTCCAGGCACTGGAAATACATCAGTAAATAAAACAGCCACTTGCCCTAGTAAATCTGCCCAACTGGTGCTTCCATTCTACAGTGCTTGTGGATGGTGATGAGCACCTGGGGAGATGGGTAGAGGGAGAAAGCTGCCAGGGAAAAAGACCAGGAGGGAAGGGAGGGAGATCAGAAAGTTGGGGTGCGGACATGGGAACCAGGAAGAGCTGACAAAACACAGGGCCCAGCCTGGGAGAGGCAGCTGGGTAAAGGTGAATGGGACAGGCCCCATGCTCAGTGCAGTGACCAGCTCTGGAGACAGGAGACAGGAGCTTAGCCTCAGTCCCAGGCTTCCAGAGAGTGCCTCACCCTTCCTGAAGGTTTTATTCTAGAGCTCTGAGCTCACCTGTTACCTGTGCCTTTCTGGGGAGTTGATATGCTGCAGTTAGCTCATGGGACTTGTCCCCATCATTTCTTTGCATGAGGTCTTGGTGTTCTCTCAAAACGTGGAGCACGGGAAGGATAGGAGAGCTCCCTGCCCAGCCCTCTGGCACAACCTACCATGGATGGGAGGGTGCTGCCCCCTGGTGGTGCTAAGACGTCCTGGCTCCGGACCTCGCCCTGGGATCTAGGCTATGATGTGGGCAGATGGACATGCGGCTGATTCTGGGCTTCTTTTTGATTCCAGGACCTCAGGTACTTCTCCCAGCCTAACTCTGCCACTGGGACTCTCCTACTCCCTCCCTTCTTTATTCTTCCAAGACCTTGATACCTGACAGACTTAAGCAAGACCACAAATCAGCCACTATTGGAAATTCCTAGTTCCCCAAGCTTCTTTCTCCCATTTTCACCTTTCCTCTGCTGTCCTCTCCTGGGTGCCCTGGTTTCTTCAGGCTGTCAGGGAAGAGAGCCTGTCTGAGAGCCAGTTCACAGAAGGTGTCAGCGACAGCGGGTTTCCCTCATCAGGAGTGAGGGTGTGGCGAAAAAACAGAAAGAAAGGGCCATGGGAGATTACAGAGGGGCACCAATGGGGGCTGTCAAGCACCTGCACCCTTTCCAGGCCTGCCTGCCCCAGTAAGGTCCTCACGTTCTGAATGCTGAGGCTGACCCTGTCCGTGGGAAGCTGAGAGCCTGGAGTCAGCCATTCACCCTTCCCCTTTCCCCACTCAGGCATTGTATGGGCTCAGCCTCTTTAGGATGACTGCAGCCATCCAATCTCCTCTCCATCTTCCCTCTTTGCAACCCCTTTGTTTTGAGGGGCTCCAGGCCAAGGCAAGGCTATCCACTTTCCCTTTTTGGCATTCTGGCTCCTGCCAGGGACTGACCCTTCTCCTTCAGGTCCAGGCCAAGGAGCCAGCATCGTTTCCCAGCATGCCCCGTTCTCTCCCAGCCTGGAAAATTGAATTGCTTTATCAGACTCAATAGAGGGTGATAGGGCCTCCCTGCTCATGGGGGAACAAGAGAAGGGAGGGCAAGAGCAGGTTGGCAGCCTCCTGTCTGCGTCTCAGCTCATTTCACCCTGCCTCCCCCCACCCCAAGCAGCCTGCAGACACTTGCCTCTGGGGAGAACCTAGCCCTAGTGATTCAGGTCTTGTGAAGGTCAGTAGAATGGCTCTGCCTCAGGACTGGAAGCAGGGCTCGGTTGCTATGATAATCCCAGTGAAGTTGTGTCTGGGGTTCAAAGGCAGCCTTTGAGGGCCTAGCTCTTAAAGAGAAGAGAGCAGGCGCTCAGGCCTGGCCAGGGTTCAGGGCCTCATATGCTATGGACCTGGAGTCATAGGGTTGGAGGGGACCTGAATGTTAGCTCAGGGACACACTCCCCCCTCTTAGGGATGTCAGGCCTAAGCAGCAGCAGTGAACTCTGAGAGGCTGAACTAGGGCTGGGGTTGGATCAAGGACAGAGAATGATGTTGGGGGCCACGAGCTGACTGGACCCTAGAGGCCTCCTTGTTTAAGGCTGCTGGGCTGGGAACTTGGCCTGCATCCAGAGAGCACCCCCAACACACACACACACACACACACACACACACACACACGCCCAGGATCCGGCTGGCAAGACTTCTCGACACTTAGCATTTCTCAGCCTGCATCCAGAGAGCATCCCCCCGCAAGACACACACACACACACACACACACACACACACACACACACACACACACACACACAGAGTAGCCCAGGGTCCAGCTGGCAAGACTCCTGACACTTGGCATTTCTCCATCTAAAAAAGTACAGATTCCTCCCACCTGGGCTAAGTTCCAGAAAAACTGGTTCATTCCATTAGAGTAGTTAATTAGTCCTGATGGGCTCAGTCCCCTCCAGCAATGTCCTGGGGAAAGGGGAAGCAG